CTCTCACCTTTAGACCACTTCACTGACGACAAGCAGAGAAAATGTAGGCCGAACTCAATCACTAGCAATGCAGGTCTACTTCTGCGTTTATGACAACGCTATACAAAACGCATAACTGTAGCTGGTATGCTTCTACGTTCGTACGCGTTGCCTTAACGTTCTTAGACGCGAAGTACCTATCTAATGGGTTACATTTTCTTAAAACGTATATAAGGGAGAAGGAAAAGGTGAATATGGTTTAAAGAGACATTTGTGCATGTGACATCCATAACTTGAAACTTGACTAGGCAGTACTGCTCTCACCTTTGGACCACTTCAAGTAGATTAAATCTCCACCGCCTTTGAGCTTGCGTCATACAGGGTAAAACCGAGCAGAGTTGTATTTGCTTGGTCGATCGTCGCCGCGGCTAGGTCGATCGGAGGTCGGAGCCATGACAGCAATTGTCAAACAAGCTTTATGTCACGCTTAAATGATAATATTGAAGCAGGAGGCGTTTTTTTGTCACGTCGCCAGATTCATTAGAAGTTTATTCCAATTTCCTGACATCAAACTGTCTTCTTGTCAAATTTGTTCGGGTGAACAATAGATCTTGTTGTTACAATCTATGACAGGTCCGTCTTGTAGCTTACTAGAATTTAGATCCAAGGACACAACATCATTTATATCCGTTGAGCAATGTCATAATTGTTAGGTGCAACAATATTCTAAATCACTGTTCCTATTGTTATGATATGCGTGATAGTCATCAGGCAATATTACCTGTCATGGTATGTAAAATCACGAGTTAAACTTTTCATCCTACACAACTTTGTGAATCGATTGCCTTATAGGACCCTTTATAGTAGGCGAGTAGGCAAATCACGGTACGTGTACTATTTAGCCTGTTTTACACAATTTCTCGCTGCCAGGGGCAAATTGTCTATCTCCAGCCAGTCGGGTGGACTGGGAGCACACTTTAGTCAGGCTAGACTAGACTACTCATAATTTCGTGTTCGGCATCTCCACAACCTTCGTCGGCATCTCGGCAAACTCATTGGCGATGACGAGATCCTGTGAAAACACGCGAGAACAGGTTTTCTGTGATATTGTGTCATTACCTTACGATAGGATGGAAAAGTTTGTACTCAGAATATCTAGTATTGTCCCCTTTGGCTAACTAACCACCCCTGGTAATTGATTAAATAAACATCACGACTCTTTATTTTGTATTTGTGTCTCGTCATCACAAGATAATTTTAGTAATAGCTTTAATTTCATTTCATTTTCCTTCAGTTGTAAAAAAAAGTATCGCCCAAAGGAGCTCTTGGTTCTCACCTTTTCATCGATGTCTTGGCCACTCCCTCCCCTAGCCCAGGGCTGGACGTCAGTGCGGATGAACACCGCCGTAAAAATCCCTCCCACTCCCTGAATAGCCGCTCCTATGTAGAAGATTGTGGACCAGGCTGCGAGGGTTGGCTGAAAGAGTTTACAAGACAAGTAAAGTACATCTGTTCATATTATTGACTCTGAAACTTATCCCAATAGAACTGTGGACTATCAACCTTAGGATATAATTGTGTGAGATCTGTTCCAGATTTGTTGATGAAGGTTAGACATTCAGGTAATGAGATACACAAGGAAATTGCTGCTCAAGCAACTGGGTAGATTTTGAAAACTGTCAGACATTTCGTCACTGACGAAAAGTAGTGGATGCTATTTGAAACGTCTGATAGTTTTTCAACTCTATCCAGTTGCTTGAGTAACCATCACCTTGTGTGTTCCAGATGTGTTAACTGTATAAGATCTGCCTTTTGTGTATATGAAAGGTGAGTTAATGCCTAGTTATAAAAAAAGTTCGTGTACTAACATCGTTATCCGTGATCAGTCCGACCAACAGCGGAGCGAAGATGCCGGCAACAGTTCCCCCCATGTTGGCCAGGGCGAAGGTCATGCCGCTGAACCTGGGCGCGAACTCCACATGGACGGCGCGGAACCCTGCCACCGTCAGCCCGTTGAAGCACTGTGTGGTACACAGCAGGGCCACAGAGGCGACCGGATCACATCCGCTCAGGTTCGCCAGGATCACTCCGCAAGTCGCCATGCCAGCAAACCCTTAGTTCACAGAACCATCAACAATAAAGAACATTAATCTCCATCATAGATGCTTAATTTGTGATCATATGCCATGTAGGTAAGCAAAAGATTCAGATGATAAAAATTCTTATATAATGAATTATAAAATGCTACTCTCCAAGCAGAGGTTGATGGTGGAAGATCGATTCCTTTCAATATATGGCCCGTTTGTTTTGTCCCTAACACCATAAACGCCATATATGAAAAGCAAACGATCTTCTACCATCAACCTCTGCTTGGAAAGTACAATTCTGATGGCTATGACAAACATATACTTGATTATTAGTTTAACCACAGCCCCTTTTTTGAGATAGGGAACCAAGGGGGCGCAATGTAATATGCGTGAGTCGGGCTGTTTCTATTGAAAGCTCATTGATTACGTCTATATCTACAAGGTCTGTATAATACGAGGTGCAGATTGGCACAATCTTACCTATGATAACGAATCCCCTTCTTATCCACACCTTGGGAATCTTCCCGCTTTGAATCAGGCGGTCAGCTGCAAAGCTTGACGTCATCATGGAGACCATACTAAGGAGGAACGGAAGAGCAGACAGCAGACCGTTCTAGAGGAGAAAAAGATGTTTTAATGGGCTATATGGGCTCCTGGTAACTATATTAACCGAACAGCTTCGGTCCGAAGGAGATTCGTTGTGGAACTCATATCGTTGCATGTTGCCTACATGTAAACTAACATAGCTAAGGCCATTAACATAAGTAATTCGGACCGTCATAACATACCTCTCTGATGTTGAATCCCAACACAGTTTGCATGTAGTTCGGCAGTTGGGTAGTCAGGAAGTAAACTCCCCAGTTCGAACTGAACTGTCCAATGACGAGCGCCCAAACGGCAGGCGATGTGAGCAGCTTCAGCCAAGGAACTGCCGGTTTCTGTCAGACAAAATTTTGTGATCTTCAGTTTCTTTGGCATTTACCATACGTTTACACTACGTATATACTGTGCAATAAATGAGAAGTAAATGCTTTCTTAGACTTACTACACCAATACCAACAGCAAGAACTAACAAGACGGGGTAAATATGTAGGAAATCATGTTTGAAACTTTTGAAAAGACTATTTCATACCTGTTGTTCCCTAAGCCCGGTGCTGCCTTCGATGTATTTCTGTTCTTCCTCTGAGATTCGTGGATGTTTCGCAGGCGAGTCATAAGCCAGGAGAAGCCAAAATACGAGCCAAACTGCTACGGAAGCCCCTATAAACAAAAACCGTAGAAACTTTTGAAACAGTTTGGACCATTATCAAAAAACATTCTAACCAACCCACAGCTGCAGTCCTAACAAAAGCCTCTAATGGGCTTCGCATTTACATACGTCTGTCTGAAACTGACGAATACAAAACTTATGACTATATGATGTTCTCAACTGAAGATACACTGTATCACTTGCATACCGAAAGAAACTGCAAGGAGCACAAAAGTTTTTATTCGATTCCTACCTAATGCAAAAAATTGTTTAAAATTGTTTTTATTTGCGAAGACATAATCTCCTTGATGGTTCAGTACGTGTTCTTACCGGGAATATAGAAGATAGCCTCCCAGCCCAGCTCGGTAGCTAGGAAGGCCGACAGCGGGTAGTTGATGACGGTACCAAGGGGCAACCCTGCATTATTGTGACGATTGGACAAAATGCACCATATATTAGCATTCAGTTTCAAACAAAGAAATGACTGAAGCAGGGTGATTTGTATGATTTCCATACTGTCCGACATCGTTCATGAATACTACGTGCGTGATCGAGTAGGGAAACAAAAAGTACGCATTATTACCTATGTAACAAAATGCCAGAAGTTTCGTCCTTTCGGTAGCAGGAGCCCATCGGCCCCAGAGTGCGTAGAAAGTGGGGAACAGAACTCCCTGGATACAAGATAAAGGTATGGTGAGTGACGTCGTTGGTAACATAGGTAATTACGCGAATGGGAGGGTTTTGTGTAGACTATCCACCAATCGGATCAATTTGAAAATAAAAGTGGTCTGTCATGATATTCGTTAATTACGGCTTATCAACAAAATCGACCGTTTTAACTCTTCTTTAATACAAACATTTCCTTGCCAAAAGATCTGAAATAGCATGTATAAATGTACTTACAGACACCAGTCCCATGCTGAACCTGACAGCAAACATCGCCCAGGGACTCGCGCGTGAGGCCACGGGACTGAGAACGTTCAGCACCGCTCCAAGAAACATGGCCGTCCCGTACACTATCTTACCGCCAAGCTTGCGCTCCAGAACACCACCTACCACCTGATGATGATGATGATGATGATGAATGGTTTATCTTAATATAAGTCCCTCGCAGCCCATTCGCAGCCCGAAGCCTGAAATGCTGATTCATTACAATCGTACACAAACCTCCTTTCTCAACTGTTCCACCTACCCAACTCCCTCTACCCCACTCGCTACAAAACCAATTACCTAGAAATGCATTCGTGCAATTTTTGAAATTCTTTCAAAGCGATCGTTGTAATGACAAAAATGCCTCCGCCCTTGACGCGTAGCCAAAAACATTAGAAACATGTTTAATAAAACATAGTGATAAACACTTATACATTGGTAAAATCTTAAGTTAAGTACCATAAGTAGCGTTATTTGAAAAGCCTGTGGTAGTATATGCATGTACCTTCACGGAAAATCCTGGACAGCTGTACACAAAAAGATACGAAAGACTTCTAATTTTTAAACCAAGTGACAAGAAAAATGACCAGAGCTTGCATGGAATCCACCCCCCCCCCCAACAAAAAATCAACAGGGAAAATAAAGCTATTGATGTCAATCGCTCACCTGTGTGAGGATGTACCCATAAAAGTTGGCGCCGAGTAGAACTCCCTTCACGCTCTCACTCCAGTCCAGTTCTCCTTGACTGTTCTGCGACAGCAGAAATCATAGCATGGTAGCCCTAGTACACGTATTAAGAACTATTCCTTGATATATATGGTCTGTATATATATAACAATTACATGCTCGTTGTACATACCCCCGTATATAAAGTTATGAGCAGGATGTCTCTGGTCCCATGTTTGTGTCTGTCTTACAAAAGCCTCTCGGAAGCCTTCTGTATATTGTATATAACGGCACAAAATTATCAAGATCATACAAAAGTAGTGCCAGGATAATAACCCCCACCTGTTCGGAGGTATTTGTCCGCCCACTGCTCGGACAGAACTGGTAAGTCCCGGTTTGATTGGCAGCTGTCACTGCTGATGAACGGTTCACCATGACGACAATGGCTATGGAAAATCCGCCCCTGGATGTGATCATCGCGATGTGGGCAAAGAAAAATATGACTGCCAGGATGTACCGAGCCGGGAGTCTGTCTGCAAGCTGTAGCATAAATAGCTAGATAGTTAGTAGGGTCATTTTAGAGGAAATTAGATAGAGATGTATTCTTGCAATGGTTTACAGACTTTCTTCAACAAGTCTAGTCAACGTGAACAACGCTTTCTATGGTACCTTGTCACAAATGTCATACTCGATAGTATCATAACAACATGCATTCTTAGGTAAACAAAGAAATATGGACATACATATGAGAGGTTGAAACTCAGAACGATTGCCAATCGCTCCAGAAGAGATTGCAATTTGAGTCTCTCAATCGGCAATTCTACTACTAGTACAGATTGCGATCACATTCGGTCCTAGGACAAACTCAAATCTGTCTGACCAGTCGCATGTGCGGACCAGGTTTGAACCTATGATTGATATCTGCACACGTGGAAACAAGTGTTTTCTACATACCCAACAGCAGCTTCCTTTCTTAGATTCCCGGTCGGACGTGGCCTCCGTTTTGCCACCACCAACATCCGTCATGTCCTTGCCTGTTGCAGCCATTTCTCTGGCCGTACGTTTCGCGAAATAGACGGTACCTCGCGATGTCAATGTGTTCAGAAAAATCTCGCAACTTCACTAATACGCGCGTGTATTAGTAGCCAGACGATAGCACGCGGTCTGTTGGAGTCTCGCCCGATCTTTTACTTAAGTTAATACATATTAAAGCATGTTACTGATAACAGCAATGCCGGTAAGTACCAGTCACCGGCAGACATTTCACGTGACTTCATTTTATATTTAGTCCCACCTTTGGACCACCACAATGGAGTCAGTCTGACCCGTACATGACTGTGTTTGTTTTGTTAAACATCGTGGACACGTTGCTATAGTTTTAAGAACAGTACATCAGGCAAAACGGGTACACACTGCCATGGCCTTTGAACTAGAGGCATTGGGACATGTATTTGGAAAGGTAGGATCTGTCAAACATGGTTTCGATCACACCGACATCCTTAACAGCGACAGACGTTTATGTCTTGCAGTTGAAAGAAATCTGGAGCCAAACCTTTGCACTTCTTCACGACCTCTTGCATTTGAAATCTGCTATGCTGGGGGGGGGAACCTTCGCCACTTCTTCACGATCCCAAGTGCTGCTAGTATTTACTTTTTTAGGAATCATTACCGTAGTATATCCAGAACGTAGAAGATACCAAACTATCCTACTGTCCTGTGGTTCCTTCGAAAGCCGTTACGGGGCATAATCTGAACAATTCCTTAATTGGCAACACCTACCAACATACGAAACATCATTATCAATCCACAACTTCTCAGGTTATATTATTCACACGGATCACTGACACATCCAAACACACCGATAAAACATAACCTTCTCGGAGAAGACAATAATGATAGCATGCTCTCAATGACAGTGTATATGTCACATATCAGCATGATGTTTTGCCGACCACAGATGTTAATGTATGACATAAATGTACAGCTGTTGTGCAATAAAGTTATCGATATTAATGTATACGTGTGTGGTGAGGAGCTTTCGTTGTAAATATTGACTTTGGCTTAGTACAATATCACAGGCCGCTGTTCATGTTGCTCATTTTGACGCAAACTTCATTGAGAGCTAGCAGGTTTTGATATGTCAAGTTGCCACAACCATCAGATGTATATTAAAAGTTCCTGATATTTGGCTCAGGTCATCAAATAGAGATTATAGACCTTGTTGTTACCATCTATGACAGGTCTGCCTTGTAGCTTAATTAGATTCGAGTACACAACACTATTTTCATCCGTAGACTGTCTGAATTGTTAGGGGCAGCAATATTCTAGCTACCTGTACCCATTGCATTTCTTGTACATGTACATGTACTACTGAATATGTGTAGTAAGGAGCAGGCCACATTACGAGCCGTACTATATAAAATCATGAGTTGAATTTGTCAGCCAACACAACTATGACCTTACGGTAGGCAAGTAAGCAAATCACGGTACGGCTACTCTTTAGCTTCTGTTACACAATTTCTCGCTGTCAGGGCCTAACTGGTCCCCTCTGGTCAGTCAGCTCAGGTGGATGGGGGTCATTAACTCCCGATCGAGAGCTTGTGTAAACACAGGCTAGCTATAGGCCACTACAAGCACGATGTGGTCGGGCTGGACTACTCATAATTTGGTGTTTGGCATCTCCCCAATCTCGACAAACTCATTGGCGATGACCAGGTCCTGTGAAAAGTACGGCATTGTGTCATCACCGGATGTTATACCTATCTTACGGTAGGATGGACAGGTTTGTAACATAATCAGAATGCAGTATACCGTCCCAATGACTGAATAAATACCCATGCTAAAT